ATATTTATAAAAATTAAAAACAAAGGCTATGCAAAGGACAAAATTACTTCAATTTAAAAAACAAGTATAACTCCAGTCACTAATAGTTGCTCAATAAATATGATTTGATTCAATAAAAGGAAGAGACAGTCATTATACTAGCTAAAATAGCTAAAGATGTTTTATTTATAAGAAAATTCAGAATAAACTGAAAGTGATAGAAACATTTCTGACTGAAAAACAGACTGATGCTTTTTTCAAGAATACTCTAGGATTAAGTCTAGAAGTAGAATGCCCCTAGGAGTTCCATTTTAGGAAGAATGAAAAATGAGCTCTCTCTAGATGTCCAACTAAAAGGGCAATATTTACCTACCCGGGAAACCTAGAATTTCTGTTATTGGTGGGATGAAAGATCCACTCATTCAAAGTTAGCACACCAGAATCCAGTCACCCAGAAATTTCATTCTGTAGACATTTAAAACCAGTACACCTCATGCTTCATCACTGTACTTCACTTCCCCACAACTTTACATACCCAGCAGAACAGACACAAAATGAGACCACTCAAGTGCTAAGAACAGTGAAATCTGCCACCTCAAAGAAAATGCATTCAAAATGCTGAGACTCGTGTATTTGGAATACATCTAGAGTGGAAATGCATAGAAAACATAAGCATGCAGCCAGTACTGCACAGTGCAGGCACACGGAGACTGACACACAAAGGAGGAAGCAGAAACACAGCATAGCAGGAAAACGAAATGTAAATAAACACTTCCATGGCTCTTCTCTGAAAAAAAAATTCATTCTCAAAGTAAAGAAATGAAAAGCCTTCTAAAGAAAGCCAGAGATAGTAAGCTGGTGTCTGGATGAAAAAGAAACTTTTTCTAAGGGATACAGAAACCCGTAAGACGAGGGTTGATCCCAACAGCTGTGAAATGCAGAAAAGCAAAGTAAACTAGATGTGCAGGGTCAGACTGAGGAAGAGAAGTTGCAAAGGCCCCATCTCGGATGAGCGCAAAATCTGCTTCTTTTAGAAATATGCTAATTTCTTCTTTCTGTCTTTTCGAAATAGCTCTTTTCTGGAGAAACATTTATATGAAGAGCAGCAATTCCACTGGTCTCACTTCAGTTTCTTCTGTTAATTTCAAGTAAACTTAAATTTCAACTTTTTTAATTAAAAAAAAAAATTTATGCCTCCCTTTTCCACAAAAAGGCTCCCAAACAAATGCAGCCTCCACAACTACTAATATAAACCTGGGTTCAGCACAAAAAGGCCTTCCTTTTGGACTGGATCTTCTTAAGAACTACTTACTACATTCTGAAAGATATGGACACACATCAGATTCAGGACTCCAGGAATTCTTGGACAAGGTAGTAAGTATAGTAAGTTCTTGGTAGTGGACTAGGCATAGGTTCAGTAAAACTACATAAGCGTGGCATTTTGNTTCATGCAGCATCTTAATGGCAGCGCTCAATACCGCTCTTTTTCTTGTAATGATACCTCAATACAGAGGCCTGGGGGCACATGCTGCTTTCCAGGTGATATGATGGACATTTCCAGTATTTTAGCCCTCTTGATTAATGCCCAACAGGGGATCTAAATAATCCTGGATTTGTGATACAGGAGGGTCATTTGATAGCAAGCTCCTTTTCTGTGTTCTTTCCTCTGAGAATCTTACTTATTTTACAAATTTTGCAGTTTCTAAAATACCCAGAGACTACTTCAATGGTAGATCTGATCATATCACTTTTCTGCATAAAATCTTCCAAGTGCCCGTGTTATGCATTGTGATGTTTCCTAACCGGTGGTGCAGACTCATGGGCACATCAGCGTCACTGTAAGGGGTCTGTCCCCTTGCAATGCCATCATGAGGCTTCCGGTCCCTGTCAGTAACCCGAATCACACATACTGCACACACAGGCACTGTTTCTCCAGTATATGTCAATGACATTATCATTTATAACGTAAACATTTGTTTCAAAATGTTAATAAATTCACAGCCCCTTTAACTTTGGGCATTTTCTCAAACAATAGTTACTAAAACGACAACTATGATCCTGGGGGGAGTCCATGAAGGGTTTTGACCTTGCAGATAACTGTGCATCAGGAAAAAGGTCAGTGTTGATCAACTTACTATACTCTGTAATTCTGTGGCCTCTTTCAGATGAAGCTGCTCCAGGTTATCGGGGATCGTGTGGTAGTGGCCTTTACTCTTCTCATACTTCTTCTTGTACTGGTACTGAGGGGAAGGTGGCAGAAAGGGCACGTTGATGGCAGAGCTGCTTGGCATTCCTATTTTTCCTCTTTAGATTAGACATTTACATAGCAGCAGCATCAAGACCAAATTAAAATGAGCAATCATTAAATAAGGGATCATGGAAAAGTTTTAAAGGATGAAGATCTGCGTTCAGCATTGTCAGTTAATACTGGATGTAAACATTTAGGTTATGTGCTTTATTCAATGCAGATTTTAAGAGTGAAAAGTGAGAGAAAACTACTCCCAATGGTAATTCTATGTCCTTAGAAGGAGGAAAGGAGCTTGTTAAAGGAAAAAAAAAGTTTAAATATTCTAAAAACAGAAGCATTTTTATATCCTGAGAGGTGTTAAAGTCAGTGGAGAAGTG